TGAGCAAGCAATTAGTGACAGCGGGAAGGAAAAACTCCCTTTTAACAGGAGGAAGCCTGGCTCAGGACAGCCATCTGCCACGGCAGGCAGAAACAGGACAAAAGACACGCTTGGAGGAGAGCCAGAGATGAATGAAAACTAATCATTAAACACAAAGTGGTGTATAAACACTTAGAGTAAAAAGAGGGGAGTGAAGAAGAAACACTCAGTGCATCTTGGGAAGCCCTCCACAGCCTGTAGGAGCTTTATGGTAATGTAGCAATGCATTATAGAGTTATACACTATTATATTTTAAAATATATTGGATTAAATAATAATTTATGCTGTTTTTTCTACATAAGAATATGAAAAAGGTAAATCGGACTCTAATTTAAACCTTTTTAGGTTAAATTTAGACTTCAACATTAGACTTATGTGAGTTTCACTACTGATTTGACTCAATTTAATGGAAATAAGTATTTAAGGGGCAAAATATGCATTTTATGAAACCTGAAAGTAGGCTTTAAAGCTCGCATAACATGACTATATTTAAAATGTGATAAACACTGGAAGTCTTCACCGTCTTCAACATCCCCACCCCCCTCTCAGTATCACCCCAGCAAATATCACAGTAGTTAAAAGAAGTCATCTCATGGGATATTTGGACTTTGTGACTTGATTCATTGTCTGGAGTATATTTAGACATTTCAGTATGTCTGTATTCTTTGTCTGTGTACTTCTGCTGCCCCCTCTTTTTTTTTTTTTAGCTGCTCAAAATTCAGTGCGCCTCACAAAAACACTTCCTGTTAAACAATGCATGTGGCTTCATGCTTTCCCAGAAGTGACTTTGATAGGTGAATTTGTTTTTAGTACTGAAGCAAAAGAATGTCTTCCTTTGGTTTCATTAAAAAGAAATACCACTGAAAAATAAGGCTTGGCGGGGTCGTATGCAAAATCATTTTAACCACATAAGCTTCGCGGTAATGTGGATGTTCACACGAGGTATTTTAAAAACTTTGATGGTTTTTGAAGTTTTCTGCTGACACCACCATCAAACTGATTTTTAATCCAAAAAACGTTAGCCAAAAGAAAAATGACTATCTCCATATGCCATTACTTATATTTGGTGGTGTGGCTCTGCTTTGGGACTTATCTGCATTTCCATGCTCAGATGGGGAAAGCCTACAGTGAAAAGAGCAGCAGCAGGACACCCTCAAAGAACAAAACTAACGTCGATTACAACAAACATCACATGAATTGAGTCAGACGTAGCGTGAAAAGAGGGAGCTGGGGTTGCAAAATAGCTCACACTGCAGCTATAAACAGGCTAAAGCAGTCTAAATAGGACACCCTACTTAAGATTTGTCCGTTTGAAGCACAAAAGAGTGTCAGCTGACATGTGCTGATATTAAGATCAGCCGTTATCAGCTGATCTACTGGGACTGTGGGCTGAGCTCAGCTTAATAGCCTTCCTGAAGTAATGCTAGGCTCAGTTTGTGGTTTAGATGTTTCCGAAAGAAAGTTAAGCACCTCTTAACCTTCTAAAATTAAAATCTAAGGTGGTGAGCTAGTTAAGCAATATACGTTCTTAACATCAGGGTGTTAACAGGTCAAAAATTAATACCTAAATACAGCCTTACAGGGTTACTGATGTGGCCATACACCACATCACTCTGCTACCTAACAAGTGCTACTCTCTTCTTGTCAGTGCCTTGAAAGTATCTGCCCTAAACCCATGTTTCTTCTGAGAACTACACCAACTCATGGTACAAAGACCCAACTGAGGCTTCAATATTACTTGCTCAAGAAGAACATCTTACTTCAACAAACTGACTGGAGAAGTTTGTGAGTGTACCACTCACCTTCCGACCGCTCTAGCTCTTAGAGTTTATTTCTTTTTTAAGCTTGAAGATCAAAATGTCAGATTAGTTGAATGGATCACACAAATACTCTTTGTCTCGCATTTAGTTGTTGGAATTTTACGCTGGCTGACTGTGAGGCTGCTTGAGTGGCACATTAATTTAGTGTTATTTGCCGCTCGCAGCCTCTGACTAGATATGATGTTTGGTTTTTAAGGCAAGCTATAGATGTAGTGAGCGTGAACTAGAGCAATATTGAGGTCCAGTGGGCCAAACTATAGCTACTACTTTAATTTTACATGAAAAATGTATATATTAGTAATTTTGCATCAGTACATCTTCAACTTCCTTTCTTAATTATAGGTCATGTTACAGGAAGATAACGTCAACAGGAACTCAGTGAATCACTCGGCATAAGAGCATCCGCTGACAACTCCATCTCCCTCTTTTTTTTTAACAAGATCTCAAACACTGATAAAGCCAGAAACTTACCAGATTTGAAGTTTCCACAAACTGCATCGCTTTTATTGTCTCCTGGAGTTTTCAGCACTCTTCCGTAGTCCTCACATCTAAAAAAAAAATACCACCAACAACAGGTGAACACAATAAATATAAATAATAATAAAATAATAAAAGTCGCAATTTATATATATATATTTTTTTTTAAACTGGACAAGCTTTTGCTACAAAATCTGTGTTAAAGGGATGTAAAAAAAAAAGGCCTCCTACAAGCATGGGAAACTGTTTCAGCACAATTTTTACAGTCTGGATGAAATATATTTACAGTAGGTAGGATGTGGGATGTTGTACGTTTCGAATTTGTAGACTGAGGGCACCAACCGAAACCAAGAGACTAATTTCTGCTCTGTGTCAATGGATGACTAATTCACTCACAGTCTACATAAAACACACAGTTCTTCAGATTTAATAATAACATAATAATAATAACAATGATAATAGTTGTAACGCAGTCTTGCCTGGTGTGAGGTTTACAGGGTGACACATAATCTGTTACGTTGCTGAAGGTCCCCTTTCCACATGGAGCACAGATTACGTTACTCGTGCCGTCGCCTATAATGAGGAGTGAAATTTATTCACCTGACTTTGTGGCACTTTAGCTAAGAATGTGAAACATCATTGGAGAAAATTATCATTCATTATGATTTTTATAGTTCAAGGTTACCTGGAATCGTAACCCCTTCACCCACTTGGCAGGGGGTTACATGCATGCAATGTTCACATTCAGCATTGTTGCAGTAGAAACCTGACACACACTTGCACACTGTGTTTGCTTCAGGTTTGCATTCATTGAGTGTCTGCTGATTGCTACCTGAAAGAGCAAAAGAGAGACATTTTTTTTCTTTGCGTTTAAGTGTGTAAGTGTGTGTGTGTGTGTGTATAGATGGGGGTCGTTGATCTCCAGTTCAAAGTGTCAAAGTGGCTTGAACATAAAGAACAGTGAAAACCCACCTCACAGTTTCTGTGCTATGAAACATTTTGAAAGTGTTGAACTTGAAAATGTAAGTTCCTTTATTGTCTTAAAATTGTCTCTTAACACAATTATCTTAACATAAATCTGAGCTAAGCTCTGTGGGATTTACAGTTAGTTCAAAATGGAAATTTAGTTTAATTCAATTTTCCCTTGAACTTTAATTACCTAGCACCAAATGACAACAACAGTTGCCACAAAACGCTTTTGGACGCTGCAAAAACACAAAAATACAAAGAAACCTCAACAGTCAAACAACCCCTTGTGAGAAATAAAGAAGATGTTAAAGAAGTGGATATGTGAGCATGTGGTGCTGACTTGGACAAACAACAGCAAAGCAGGTATTATTACTCCATAAGTATAGATATCAAAAGCCATCAGCTTTTACAATTTGCAACATCATTATTGCGCAGTTTCCTGCTGTCCAACAGTATATTTCTTTCTTTCTTTGGCTGTGAAAGCAGCACTCCTAGCTTTTTGGTATTTTGCATAGTAGAGTTCAAATACGGTCTTTCTAGTTCTATATCGTTGTATTCTTATTAGAAATAGACTGAATTGTGGTTCTGTGTTTCTTTGACTGAGCTTCTAAGACTAATGCTGTGTGTATGCCTGTGTAACTTACTGGGAAGGCATTGCTTGCAGCGATGGCATTTTTCCACATGATTTTGAGAGTCTGTGTAGAACCCATATTCACATTTGGCACACTCGGTCTCTTTTGTGCCATCACACGCTGTCTTCATGTACTCTCCTGACAAGGTGAAACAAACAGACTTGTATATTAGACGTTGGTTAACGAAAATATGGTTTTTGAAGAATGCTGTGCAGCCTGTAAAGAAAGTTTTTTAACCGAGGAGAAACGTGAGGAACTGAAGCATTGTCGTATTCACTGACCTGCATTACAGCGTTGACAGCATCTCCCACTAGACTCGAACTGATCTTGTTTGCACATTTTGTATCCTATTCGTCAACAGCCCTCCACCTGCGTGTAAACTCTCTAAACTGTAAACGCCTGCGTCTTTTCAACCTGTTTCTATACCTGAAAATTGGCTAAATCGTTATCGTAGCTCAGAAGATAAAATCCAGAAGTGAACTCTGTCGATCGCCTCGGCTTTTCTGATGATCACGCAGTTGCTGCTCAGGTTCATCTGCCTCCACTCTATTTCTGACGTACTGTCTCTGATTTGTTCCCCCTCCTCACTCGGTCTTACCTACTTCTCATGTCTTTTCTAGTCCTACACAGTGGAAAGCCCCAGTGACCCTCATCTGCTGTTTCTCCCCCTTCGCCTCTCTGTATCTCTGTCTCGTTCCTCATTTCCTTCCTGTACTAGCCTTCTCAGTATGATGTTAACTGTAAATGTGTTTCCGTACTGTAGCTACAGGACTAAATGCTGATTTTGGCACTCGAAGTGCACAAAGGAATATTTCCTTCATCCCCTACACCCTTTCCTTTCATCCTGTCACCATTGTTTCAATACAATATTTGTCCCGCTGACAAAGGATCGGTGTTGAGTTGAAAAGTGCAAAGCTGCTGAAAAGCTTTTGGCTCGGTTTGTCTTCCTGTTGCTCCACAGTCACCCTCCTGTTGCCGTAGATGCATAAAGAAACTATCTAGAAATAGATTTATAAATGCTTACGGGTGCAAAATATAAGCAAGAGAGGAAGGGGGCAGCAGGAAGAGGGTGAAATAGAAATTAATATGAAAAGAGGAAGGAGACGTGTTCAAATGCTTTATTTGAGAAGAGATTTGATCAGGACAAGATGTTAAGATCAAGGTGGGTTTGGATTTGTTTAATTATCACAACAGATGTGCAAAGAGTGATTACAGAGTGTCTGTCTCTGACATCCAACTACTTAATTTCTGTTTCTGTTTAACGCTACCTTTTTTAAAAAAATATTCTTTACCCATATATTTATTTTTGCTTTGCACCATTTTCTTCAGTCTCCTGCTTCTCCCGCTCTTCCACTCCACGTACTGCATGCTGCTGGGATGGGTGGAGTCTCCAGGTTATCCCAATGGGTACTTACCTCATGCTAGTCTAAATTGGAGCAGGTGCGCCCCCAAAGGTCACAGCCTCTCCATAAGGTTCATCCACCTGGACCTGGAGGACAGTATCGACTGTGAAAATGATGCAGTGAAGGTAAGAGGATATCTTACCATATCAAGAATATTAAATGATGTTAATACCTGCCACATACTATTTTCTCATTATGCCTCTCATCTTTTTTCCCCCTCAGATCTTTTCAAATGGAAACCTAATTTCCGTTTTGTGTGGCACAAAGGAATTTGAGGAGCTTCAGTCCACTGTAAATCCTGTGCTTTTCTCGCCCCCGGGTGGCTGCCTCAACCTTTTGTTCCACTCGGACTACTCAAACATAAAGAGGCACACCGGCTTTAGAGGCTTTTATACAACCCAAGGTGAGAATCTCCTTCTGAAAATCTGCAGAAGGAGCTTGTGGAAATATACTTACTGAGAATAAATCACAGTGTAAAAAGCTTTTTGTTTAATAAAGAAAACATAAGATTAAAAAACATTTGTGTGCAAGATTTTGTCTTTCTTGCACTGCAAAAAAAAAAAGTGCTGATGACACTAACGTGACTGATGTCTCACCTAAACCTCGTCTAGTATCAGTAGACTCTTGTTCCTCTACTGAAGACTTTTGCCACACATGTTACCTAGAATACAAACCAGGAGAACTGATGCGAAACTGTGGTTTTCTCTGATTTTTTTTAATGCAAGAAATGCAAAATGTCAAGGATTTTTGTTGTCACTCTGTCAAGATGAACAAACATTTGCTGTTTGATCACTTCTGTTAAAATGTTACGATAGATAGCCTGATTGATATATTTATCAAGTCATTCCAAGGAATTGTTTCTTTGTTGGTTTTTTTAATGCTTTTCTGCGTTTAACCGTTAGCTCATTCCCTCTGTTAGACTATGACGAATGCAAGGATAACGAAATCAACCAATGCACCCAGTTCTGTCACAACTTCATCGGAGGATACCACTGCTCCTGTCGCCACGGCTACCACCTGGATGTGGACAACCACACTTGCACTGGTACAAATAATCAAATTTGCTTCCAAACATTCAACATAATCAGGATTTAACACGTCTGAAGGAGACAAAAATACACAAAGAGAAGTGAAAATGGGAAAATAGAGGAAGCAGAAGTATTGTGGGGAGATTTTTGGGAAGGTACTGATTGTGTAAAACTTATGATTTTGTTCATTAAAATGAAGGTGATGACAATGATCTCTCGTGTTCACAGTGAACTGCAACGAGGACCTGTCAGGAAAGAGCAAAGGTATCATATCCAGTCCTTCCTGGCCCAACTCGTATGCAGAGAACGCAAACTGCCAGTACACACTGCTCGTGGACTCCCAGTCTCAGGTGGAGCTCCACTTCTCGGGCGTTTTTGATGTGGAACAAGGCCCCGATGGTCAATGCATAGATGCACTGAGAGTAAGTGATGACTCAGAATATGCAAATACCTCTCGAAGCTGTGTGTCCCCCCCCCCCAGAAACTTTAACTTTACATATCAATAAACAAAGAGGAAGTTCAGAAAAAAAGTGTTGTAACCATGGATTTGACAACAGACAGTCATCCTATTTTTGACGTTTTATGGTCTCTCTGTGTTACACAATTGGGTTTTTTCTTTGTGTACCATTCCTGTGTACATTGATCTCATCTTGTTTAGTTTCAATTTGACATATAACCTAATTATAATTTTGTTGTGGTACTGTTGTTGTTTCTTGTTTCAGAGCCACAGAAAAAGAGTCTCTAATGACATTTGAGACAAATTTTCTCCCAAATAATAAAATAATAAATGGATAAGTGCTAGAAATATAAGTTAGGGTAGTTCTTTGTCAGTGTTGGACATCACGTCTTTTGTCATTTTCATGGTGTGGACTTAGTCATCTACACAGGAACTTTAAGGCTGATATTTTTAAGGTCATATCAGGCCTCAGTTCTTACATTCAGAGCCCATGTCGTTCACCAAGTAACAGCAGTTTTTTAGCCCTTAACCAGGAAGTGAAACTATTCGAGATTCAGAATCTCTTTTGTGAGATACCTGAGACAAAAGGGGGAGGGAGGGTGAGAACGGCTGGTACCAAGAGAAACCAGAGCTCCAGAAGAAAACCCCCAAAGCGGTGGGAAAAATGTGCAAACTCCAGAGAGAGAAGGGCCCTGCTGGTGCTTGAAGCCCAGGCCCCTCTTTTCTTTGAGGAAATGGTGCTAACAACGTCACCAACCTGCTGTAAGCACATTCAGAGGAAATGGTGCTAACAACGTCACCACCCTGCTGTATGCACCTTCAGAATTTCCTCCAGGATTTCTCTGTAATTCACTTCAATCATTTTTATCTGAAAGCCTCCTGTATGCATTTTCTGGCAACATGTTACTTAAAAGTTGTGACTTTTTTTTAAGACTGTCGCCTTCTAAAATTGACGATCTTGTTGGCTGCTGCTGTGTAGTTTCAGTTACAATTAGGACAGGAGGCTGTGGAGGTTTGTGGTCAAAGATCCCTCATAGAGCCTGGAGGTGTGTTTTAGGTCATTAGGTCTTTTTCAGAAATGAATACTCATCCCACTGAGCACAAACCACTGCAGGATACTGTGGTAGTCATGCTGGTTAACAGACTATCACACCTTAGACTTGCATCGGTAACCACATAAGCAGATGCAAACCATAAATCCAGTTTTTAAGTGCAACCTTATGTCTGGAAAGCATTGATGTGGGTTATAATATGTGATTTCTAAGGCTGGTCTTCCTCTGTAGCTGGGAGGACAACACACTGTTGTGGGCCTAATGATTTTTTTTTTTTTTACAAGGGTTTTCTTTTTTTAAACGTCCATGTCAGAATGCTATAAACTGATAGTCTCGCACATCCATCGAGCAGTTGTGTTCAAATTCTTGACAGGTGCTGCACGTCTGCATCTTAAAGAAAGTCTGTAAACTTGAACTTGGTGACAGTGCCTGTGTTGTTTTGTTTGCAGATTGAGACTCCCTCTGGTACTCTGGGACCGTTCTGTGGCAACACGCCTCCCAAATCGCCATTTCTCACTCACGCAAACAAGCTCACGATCCGTTTCACCACTGACGACTTTGGCACCAACAAAGGATTCCACCTCAGCTTCAGGACCAGAGGTACTGCAGCCTCCTCATCTCAGACACAGCTGGTAAAGAGCATCTGTCTGGATGTTTGTTGGAAACGACTGTGACTCTTCTTCTCACATCTTAATTGCAGATAAGATCTGTCCAGCAGTGGTGACCTCACACTCCACCGTGACTCCCACGAAAGCAGAATATAATCGTGGTGAAGAAGTGACGGTCACTTGTGACGAGGGCTATGTTGTAAATGATGTGAGTGCAGAAAGAAATCTGAAGTGTATCCTTGACATTTGATGTAAATATTTAAGTTATTAAATAAATTGAATTCTAAATGAAATTACATTCTCATTTTATTAAGGATAAAGGCATCCATGATGTGAAATCAGAGTTCAATGCAATGTGCCATAGCACAGGCGTATGGACTCCCAGCTACACCTGTGGATGTGAGTCTGACTACAATTAATTTCAGATTTTTCTGTTTGTGTCTACTTGTTTTTTTCACACTCAGTATCATATTTTCTCATATATAGTGGTCAATTGTGGACTTCCTGATATACCGGAAGATGGTATTCTTCAGTTGGTGGGTTCAGATGACCCACAAACTCAATACAATGACCAGATCCAGTTTAGCTGCAGCTCAAAGTACTACACGCTGGAAGGAGATGGTGATTACAGGACGTTTTTGCTCATACCTTTTTTAGTATCACTGATCTGTTATTCTTTTAGCAAATTTCTCCTTGACACTTTTCAGACACATTCATTTGCGGTGCCAGTGGCGAATGGATATCAACTAACGGAAATGCAGAGTTTCCAAAATGTCTTCCAGGTACGGATGCATTCCTTCTGTTTTTCAATGTCACTATTTGTTTGGAGCTCTGGGTTTAATGATGACTTCTATTTGTTTCAGTGTGTGGGCAGCCTGAAACACTGATAGCAGGTACAGGAAGAATTCTGGGAGGTCAGGATGCAAAACTGGGAGAAATACCATGGCAGCTATTCATAAAAGAGCCCAGCAGAGGAGGAGCATCCCTGATAAATGATCAGTGGGCTGTGACAGCGGCTCATGTTGTGGATGGGCATGAGAACAGCCCTTTGAGGGTCTTTGGTGGACTGATAGATAAAACGACAACAAATGCCCCAAGCACACCTTCCTTGATCACTAACAGGATCATAATTCATCCTGGCTACAGAAAGGGGATCACTGGAAGTGCACGCACTGATTATAACAATGATATTGCTCTTATAAGATTCACCTCCAGAATCAAATTAGGCCCAAACCTGCTTCCCATTTGTCTGCCAGAAGAAAACAGTGGTGTGGTGGAAAATGAACAAGGTACAGTGTCAGGCTGGGGGGTGACAGAGAAAAAAACGCCATCAGATGTTTTAAAATATGCTCATGTTTCAGCCTACTCACTCACAGAGTGTGAGAAAACACCGAGACCAAATGGCAACCCCATGAGTTTCAGTAATAACATGTTCTGTGCTGGAGACAGCGGGAAGGACAGTTGTAAAGGAGACAGTGGAGGTCCTTTTGTTTTGCCCATGTTGTCTTCTAGCAGTGGCCCTTACTATCTGACTGGGATTGTGTCATGGGGAGATCAATGCAAGAGTCCCAAACCAGACTCAACTAAAATAGTGAACAAGGGTTATTATACCAAGGTAGGGAATTATGTGAAGTGGATTAAGCAGACAATAGAGAGAGTAGAGGCAGAAGAATCAGAGAGAAAGTAAAATAAATGATGAAAAAAACACTCTGTTATATACAATAATAAAATCATTTTCAGGGCTGATTCACATTAAAAAAATTACTTTGCTTATAAAATAAAGACCGCAACCTTATAATCAAATGTACCAAAATAAATAACACAATCAGAACAGCTTGTTATTTCTACATTGTTTCCTATTAAAGAGAAATGTTTGCAAATCATCTGCAGACAATCTGTGTGTGTGTGTGTGTGTGTGTGTGTGCATGTTTTCAATTATTTAATCCCTATTAGTTAAGAGACACACAAAACTGCATTTTTAAAAACTCTTGTATAATCAGTATATTTTCCCTATAAGTGAAAGCAGGCTATGATCATCTTTTCCTTTCCGGTGCTTCTTTTAGGGGTTGCCACAGCAGATCATCTGCCTCCATATCATCCTGTCTCTATAGTCTATAGCATCTCCTTCTGTCACACAAACCCTCTGCATGTCCTTCCTTCACTACATCCACCTTCCTCTTTTTCTTCCTGCCCGGCAGCTCCATCTTCAGTATCCTTTGTCCAATACATATCCACTACGCCTCCTCTGCACATGTCCAAACCATCTCGACATTATCCCTCTTTATTTTCAAATCGCTTAACCTGAGCTGTCCTTCCAATGTACTCATTTCTAATGTAGTTAGAAGCATAAATTAGAAGATCATTACAGTGCTTTACAGACAAACAAGCTTTCTCACATTAAAAAACTAACACCAGTAGCTCCAGATGTTGCTCTCAGTATTGAATTAATTAACCAATTCGCCTATTTTTTTTAAAAAAAAATTAATTTTTCAAAAAAAATCCTCAACTAATTGGTAATTTTGGGGCAAAAGGCCGGCCAAGAAAACCAACGGTAAAAAAAAAAAAAAAAACCCAAAAAAAAGGGGGTATTGTTCCGATATTGCATGACAGTGTCTGCATAATAGTGCATGACAACTGAAAACAAGGCCCTCAAACCAACAGCCTGCAAAGAGCCACACAGGAGAAGTGCACTTATTTTTAGACAGCCACAAACCATCGGCCTAATCCCTGACACTGCAGTGTTTAACATCAGTATGAGAAGCATGTTCTAGCGTCACAGCAGTGCAATCTTCATAAAAGTTGTTCTGATTAATACTGCAGCCAATATGCTCTTATTGGCTGCTAAACTATAATTAAAAACAACCTTCAGCTCATTACGAAAACAAATCATGGCTCCAGTGTCACTTCCTCATGAGGGGTAGTGATGCTCTACTGCCGCTTAGTGGTGACACATATT